ATTGGTTACACACTTAATCTTTGTTCAAAAATCAAACCTGCAATGTACATTATGATCATTGTTATTACAGATAAAAATTCTATTATTTATCTAAAGTTTCATGAAATTCATGCAATGACATGAAAGTAAAATGAATGCATGTAATTTATTCTGTGAAAATGCATTTTTGGTTAATAATTTTGATCCAATGTTACGATGCCTCATGCAAATAGCTCAAGGCTTCAAGCGTCATTCCCATTGAAAATCTCATCTATTCACATTAGATACCGTTTTCATGTTTATCTCATTTCATTTTGACAATTGGCCGATTGTTGCATTAATTTTGAGTCTTTTGAAGAAAAAAAAAAACATCGCATTGTTATCACCGTATAATTTATTCGTGAGAATTCACACGTAATTGATGCATTCACAAATGAATTACAATTTTAGATGAGAGAAAATTGCGATGATAACATCATCTCACATCATCATCATCAAGAGGATATATATCATCAGTTTGGTGACTAAGGAAAATGAGTAATTGTTAAGTGTCAAATTCACTATTATTATCATGAATATTAAGAAATGTTATGGCCTTTGGAACGTGCCGGACAATACATTATCTCATTTTTTGTGTCGATTCGAGAAATTCGAAGCGAAAAAAATAATACATGTTTCATGTGCTGTTCATCGCATTAATTAGATGTGGCGCGTATAAGTTTTAATGAATTGTGTAACAGTTTCCGACCATTTCTATGATATTGAATGTCGGGCAATTAAATATAACCAGTTGATAAGTCGAAACAAGTTGTTTCGCGAACATGAAGATTTTGAATCATAAAATAGAATTATAGGTTTTTATAACGTTATCATTTTAGCATTCGACTTTTATTCCAATAAAACAGAGAGAGATAGAAGCAATGACAGATGTGGAAGAAAAAGAGAGACCGGTTTTGTTTTTAAATAACAAGGTTCTAACCTAAAGGAAATTCGAGTTATGTTTTGCAGATTAGCGCATGATCTAAATACATCCTGATTGAATTTTTGCCACACTTCGCCTACATATAGTCGGAATGGTTTTAGATCTATTGACCCCGAAAACAGTCATTATTTTATGTTGTTTTTTTTTTACTTTTAATATGCCGTTCGCAACCAAATCCAGTCTACGATTTTTTTTTCTGAATGCATCTTGACAAATCAATGCGCAGTGCGGCTATTAAATGTTTTTATGAGTGTGTTCAAGAGTGAAAAATAAGATGATGCGGTTTTTAACATTTTCTTTTCATTTTTCTGGGTTTTTTTCATACTTTCGTCATTTATCACTTATTCAGACTATTTTCTCTACTATTTTCTCCATCGTTTTTAAATTTTCACAGTTTTTGAGAGCGTCTTTTGAAAATGCGAACAAAAATGTTGACATTTTATACACACTATGAAATACTAGTTGAAAGTACACAAAACAAACAAAGAAAATGAACAATATCAATATTTTATATGGGAAGGGTCATTGCAGTTGCTTGTAATTCCAAATGGATTTAATCCAATATGAATTCAATGTTGCCTGAATGATAACAATCCCAATTGATTTAACATGCTCATTTTTACAATTCCCGTCAAATTATGACGTTAAACGGTGCAAGGGCGTTTGCATGATTGGTGTACTCTACACTTTTTTTTATCAATACATAACAAATGCAACCGAGTTCTAGTAATCGATATAAAATTTTAAAAATGCGTGCATTTTAAACGGGGTACATATGCATACGAACAGCGTTTCATTTTATTAATGCGTGTTTTCCAATGTGGTTTTAATTTCAGTGCTCGACCGACTTAAATAAAAACATAATGCATGCATGCATTCATTATTAAACAGTGTTCAAGTTTATATTTTACATTACACCCGCACCACAATTTTTACTACCGAACACATACACACACGCACACATTCAGAGAGAAAACACATTAAAAGAAAGGTAATGGTGCTTAAACGAATGAGTATGAATCATCGACCACCGTGTGTATACTGTTTGTGGCAGTTGCCACCAATACACATATTTGCATACAACATGCATGAACAAATACATTCACAAAACGAAAGCAAAACCATTCATTAGGTACACGTACTGATGACAGGATACGAATGCAATGAATGCACGGAACATAAAAAAAATGTATTCCACATGAAATTCGTTCATGCGAAAACGGGAGATAAATGAGATTTCGTGCAGTATGTCACCGATATTGAAGATGCCGTCCTTCATGTACGAAAGAATATGGATAATCGACCGAATCAAGAACAATGTGCTCACACCAAAAACATGAATATTGACACATTCGTTAACAATATTTGAATGGATTTAATCAAAACCAGTATATTTTTACTTCTTTTTTCCCTTATTTTTGTATCAATTTCGTCAGTTTATCATCTCACTTAGATAAAGAAAAAGTGAATGACAGAGTCCTGTCAATGATTTTTTTTCTGTAATTTTATTTCCATTCACTTACATTTTCAATACTCTATTCGCCTTTCTGCTAATTGCCAAAGTTATCAATTTCACTAAAACACATTGGCACTTAGATGATTTACAATTATAAATTTATATTCTGCATTGAATTTACACTAATTTTTTTTTAAATAAATAAATATTCACTAAAGCCAATTTGGATTAGGATTAGCGTGTGACGCAAATTTTCTAATTTTACTAAAACCAAATAGTATCGATATATTTACACTTAAATGAATCTATTTCTAATCGGAATTTTGAGAGTTTTTAATTCTTTTTTCTTTTACTCAAAGAATTGTTGTTTCAAATTTTTCAGTTCGTTTCTTGTTATTGTTTTCCTTTTTTTCTGTTGCAATGTTCGTATATGTATTGCAGTTTTCTTTAATGTATACAGAGAATGGTTGTAAATCTACTGTTTATTTGAATATAGTTTATTCAGGATTGCATCAAGTGCGTTCGACAACTGAGGATTTTTCCAGCCTTCTTTTCAATTGTCAAATTTATATTTGTATGTGGACATTCTAATAAGTTTAAATAAATGCATGTGTCACACAACTGATGTTGATGCGATTGTGAGCGTGCGTATACGCGAATGTATGTATGGATTTGTGTATGTGTTTGTATGAACGGAGCACATATATGCATTTGGAAGCCCTTTCAATGGGACTCACATCATCCATGGTATCGTAACACAGGCGGCATTCATATGATTCGTATGTGTATGGGTCGGTAATAAAATTGAACGGAAACGTATGTGTATGTGTGTTGGTGGCAGTAAGAATATATTTTCGGCTTTGCTATTGCAATACACCGTGTGTACAATATGGAAAATGATAGAAGAGTGCGCCATGAAATCGATAAAATATAGGGTGAGGCATCAAAGAGGGATGTTATTTTGTCGAATTTGTTGTTATGTGACTCTCTTTGTGCTATGGCACATTGAAACACTGTTTCTATATTAAACTAGTTCAGTTCAAAGATGGAAATTCTAATAAGATTTTTATTCAATTCTCGGCAGAAAACGGTCAATACATCATTGTTAAGAAGAGCATTTTTTCTTGACTTTGTTCAACAGCACTTTTCGCAGTGTTTCATCTCGCCGGTGCAGTTTTTTTTGTAAATTTTCCACATCGTTCTTATATTGAATGTGAATTTGTTGCAGTTGTGTGTCCTTTTGCCGTAGCATCTGTTCGATTTTCTGCAAATTTGGCCAAGAGATTGTCTTTGCGGCCGCTTCAACTTTTTGATTCCAGGTTATGGCACTTTTCAAGCGGCTTTTTATCATCGCACGTGATTGTTGCAAATGCACAAATTTTCGACGGATTTTCTCAATTTTCTTCTCAAAAACGCTGAAATGAACGGTTTACCATTACATTCTGACATTTTATAATTTAAGATGCATTTGACTTACTTAATTTTTACGTTTTGTGCATCGATTGTTGTTTTTTGTTCGATTATTCTTAGTTTCAAACTTTGGTTCTCAACCTCATTTTTCTGATTTGTTTCCTTGAGTGTCATTATTTCGTCATTCAGTTTGGTTCGTTCGGTTTCGTGCTGCACTTTAGCTTCATCAAATAATCTGAAATTACGGTTAAACTATGTGAAATCGTTAATTTTTCATAGCGTCATGTATTAGGGTAGTACCTTTGGCATTCTTTCAGCCGTTCGATAACCAATTCGGGTTGCTCATGCATAGTCCTACAATTGCTTTGTTCACCCTTTAATCGATTATATGCTTCTTGAAGACGTTCAATATCAATCGATTGCGATTGAATTTTCTGTTCATAAAGTCGCATTACCTCCAATAATTTTTCTTTCGCTAAATCAGCACGTTTTGAATGAATTTCCGCTTTATTTCTTTTAACAGAAATTTAAAATAAAAATGAATTTGATTGAAATTCAAAAATTGTCAAAAATGAAGCACCAACAAAAATTACCTGCACACATCCAATTGAGCCTGTAATCGAACTTTTTCCGCATGCCATGAATCATCAGATTGTTTCATATGTTCAATTTGTTCATGTAGTCCCTCATTTTCGCTTAAAATCTCCTTTATTCGTCCACTTTCCTGATTTAGTTCCGTCTCATATTGTTTGACTAAATTATTCTTTTCGCGTATGGTTTCTTGGTATGCATTCAACAGAGGTGCCAATACAAATGATTGAACGCAACCCCAATCGATTGATTCGATATTCTCATAATTTATGGCCGACATCTCATGAACATGCTTTCGATTATGAATGTATTTTCCATCGTTATCTTGTTTACGCAATAGTTCTTGATAATTTTCAAGTTGTACATTCAAACGATAGATGAGCACTTTCATCATATTTATATCGCTGACCAACTGTTCATTTTCACTGAACAATCGATCGATTTCTAATTGATTTTCCTTGTTATTTTTGGTCAACGAACGACACGAATCGCAGCCCTTTTCTCGCTCTTGTTCATACTCCATGCAACGTTGTTGAGATTCTTGCAATTCATTCTCAAGTTTTTCGTGTTCAACGGCAAATTCGTTATTTAATGAATGCAATGTAGTGACGCGCTTTATCAATTTTTCAATTTGCTCATTTTTTTCCGAAATCTAAATCAATAAACGAAAAGCAAAAAACTATCATCAAATATTCAAATTAAATTTTATCGTGTTAAATTTACCAAATTCATGAATTGTCGTCGATTTCGACGTTCTTCACGTGAGTCACCGCTTATGTCGTCCAATATTCGATCCAAACTTTGACTTCGACGACCTTTGGTCAACACTTTTGAATCGAATCTTTTTCGTGATGGTTTTTTTAATTCGACATCTTTTACAGGTTGTTGAATATTCGCGGTAATATTTTTTAGCGAACTTTTTGGATTCATCGTGAACAAAAACTGTAAACAATTAGATAGCATAAGATAAGTGCGTGTTAATTTTTGTTTATATTTTGATGCGTAACCCTTGGTTACTGTCAACACGAAGTTGAATAGAAAATGCACATTGAAGCTTAGTCTGTTATATTTTTATTATACGTTTACTAACTATATGAATGATAAGCTCCATGATGATAGAATAAGTTGGAGTTTTTGTTTGAAGAAGAGAAAATTAAATAGTTGCATATCGAAAGAAAGTTGTATAAATGGCCATTTTTGGGTGTCATATACGCTATCTTGAAATTTCTGTTGAAAAATAAATTGTTGATACATATTTTGCAATAGATACAAAAAAAAACGACAAACCACATCCATATCTTTGTCCGTGTGGTGATAACATTGAACACGAACAGAGAAAAAAATTCCAGTTGGTCGTGGTAGTATTCGATTCAGAAAGAAAACAACCCTTCTACCAAAATCATTCTTTTTTCATCAACAATTGTTAAGGAAAATATTTAGAAACCAAACGACAAAATTAAAAAATGGGCTTGTGAGATTATATACGCACTGTGATGAAACATACAACAACGACGAAGATGAAAACGAAAGAAGGAAATTGTGAAGGTCGTTGGAAGGACATGGTGCATGCTGCTTATTTCCTTTTCTTATTTATCTCACTTTTCTGTTTAGATCATGTTCAATAAATCATTTCACAATTGAGTCCAAATATGAAATAATGTAGTAATTTGTCGATGTTGTGTTTTTATTAACCTGACGTACAGAGGGGGTTATGGGTGGTTCGAAATGTACATGGTTCTAACGGTAACTTTTTATGGGGAATCCAAATATGTAATTATTTTTGGGGTTAAAGGGGATTTCACCTGTAATTTCGATTTTGTATTTTTTAACATTTTAACCCTTATTGGAGGTACAAATGGGTCTAAGGGGCTCGCAATATATGAAGCGTAGAGGTAATTTTTCATGAAGAATCTAAATATGCAGTTACTTTTTGGAGCTAGAAAGGGTTTAAACCAAATTGAAGGCTATTTTTTTTTTTAATTTTCGAAGATTTTGTATGGAGACCCCCTTTGGGTGAGTAAGGAGAATCCGAATTTTTGGGTTTCAGGTAAAAAAATTATAGGTTGAGGGGTTATGACCCCCAACCCCCCTTGGAGGGCAACTGTCCCAAAAAATGTGTCTCATCATTCTGAACAACTTTTTAGTACAACACATTTTGATTCTATGAAGTTTTCAAAGTGGGGGGCTCTCCTGCCCCTAATACTCCGATGGGGCACCTCTCATTTTTTCTGTACTTTATATCGATCTGTATAGGTTAAATTGTATACATTAATTCCGCGCGTGTGTGTGTGTGTGTTTGTGTTTGTTTGTGTGTGTATGGTATGCAGATTTTTTATGACTTGGAGCTGAAATGTATGATATTTTCAAAAAAAATCATTAGTTTCGATTATTCACAATGTATTTGGTAGACCGGCCATATTGTTATTTTTGGCCATTTTGGCCACTCCGACTCGATATTTCAAATTTGCAAATGGCATCTTTCGATAGACTTCTTCAAGACCTTTCCAACGATATCCATCACAGTAATGAAACGACAACAACAATAACACATATTTTTACTGTCAACATTTTGATGTCAAATGGTGTCGACATTGGTGACGGTATTTTGAAACATGGGGCGGAAATGAATGAGACGAAATTTTCTCTCTCATGGGCGCAGCCATATTGAAAATTTTGTATGCGCTTATATGTAAAATTGGTGGCGCCACTGGTATATTTGATGGAAAAAGAAGAACATGTTTGAGTCTCACTCAAATTACATAGGCATTTCCAGGCCATGGTGTAATCCATATTCATCGTATATGATCCTATGTAAAGTTCTATACTTGATCTAGTTCACATTGACGGTTCAAATCGTTTATGTCCACTAGCGTGGACATGGACTGTGCGTATCTTCTGTTACATGTACGTTGTAATGGACAAGTATAGTAACATGGCGTCATTCAAATAAATTTAAAAATCCATCCACTCGTGTCGACACCATCTAGCACGGTAGTAGGGATTTCATTGCTGTGATATCCATATGTCTCGGGTATGTCGACTCTAGGCGCCACAGTAACCGTATTAAGAAATAGCCATTTTTGGCCATATTTTCATCATCTATCAAAGGCCATATCTTGAAAACGAAAACTTTGCCAGATACGAGCTATGTGGCTAATTCTAGCTAAGGCATGGGCCTAAAATCTGTGAAATGTCAATGAAATCATTGCACTCGTTTTCGAGAAAATAGCCAGTAAGACTTCGGCCGGCCGGTTACTTTTTGGAATTTTGGACTCTAATTGGCACTTTAATACCTTTCCACCGATGTGCATATGTCCGCGGTGTGTCGACCGGCGAAAAGTGGACGACCTTAAAAAACTTTTGGACGAAGCAAAGAAGAAACTACGCAATAAAAACGTTCGAATAAAAAATCAATCTGTATATAAGCCGTGTGTTTTTTATTCAATTTGAATTTGGAACAATTGCATTTGAATTTTTTTTTCGTATTAAAAGAAAGAAATCTTGTAAATTGTGAGATGAAATGGTCGGATGAATGATCTTCCATGCGTTGTTTATTACAGCATTCTCTTCAATAATATTTACAGATGGTTGCTTATTAGTCTTGGTCGTAAAATCTCATGTTGCTGTTCATTGTTTTTATAATTTTGTTCCTACTGATTTGCTTGAATCTGTGTAAATGAAAATTGAACAACATTTCATAATTTTAGGAATTTTACAATTAAAAATCGTTATCTTAATCAAGTTGAATATGCTTACCGCAACTGAAATGTTCATATCACCAAAAGAACCAGTCGATTGTTCGATATTACCAGCATCATCTTTTGTTTCAGAATTCCCACTGACATCAACCATTTGCGATTTTGGACCGTCACTTGATGAGTCCTTTCGTACGGTTGCCGCTGATTCTATAAAAACAAAAACGATTTTCAATTATAAAAAAAAACTAATACAACTCCGCACGGTTGGACATTTTAATTACCAGCTAAACCAGACTGATATGGGTGCGGTCTCTGCACAAACATATTGTCCAAGATGTGATCGATATTTTCAGCTGTATTATCCACTGACTGGGCGCCCTGTTATAAATGTCAATAAAAACAATTTATTAAATGAAAATAAAAACAACAACGAAATGTGCATGAATTGGATTTTACATGCAATGGTTTGCATCCAAGAAGCAACAATGTAAACAAGTATAAAATGTAATTGACGTATTGAAGGACATCAAATGACTTATTTCGTTTTTTTCCATCGATTTTTCAGTTTGGATTTTTTTTTTCAAAGTGGTAAAAATACACCGTGTTTTCAAATCACATGCGCCCTTCTCTGCATATTTTTGTTTCATATTATACCTGTTGTTGGTCACTGTTGTTGTTGCTGTCATTATTGCTGGAATTTGGCCCGCTTCCGCTTGATCGATTGCCATGCGAATTTTTGTTGCTTCGCTCTGGTGGCGCCATGATTGGAATTGCATTTTTATGACGTCGCTGTGACAATATTGGTCGTGGTGGTGCTTGCGTTTGTGGTGCATAATATGTTATGCCGCTCTAAATCAACATTCAGAATTTTTTAATTAAAAATCAGAAAAAATTTCTTTTTTTTGTTGTTGTAAAAGAAAATGCAAATTCTTGTTAAACTTACAGCTGAATTATAATTCTGTACGCCAGCATATGCTGGATACGTCGGATATTGCCCTTGCGGTGGCTGGGCAACTACTTGAGCATTAGGAACGGGTTGTACAACGGGAGCTGGTTGCATAGGTGGATGAGCGGGCACAAAATTCATCATTTGTGGCACTACACCAACGGATGCAGGCTGTGGTGGAGCGCCTTGTGGCAAGTATCCAGATGCGGGACCCGACGGTTGTTGTCTATTTCACAGAACGAAATTGAAAAATCCATTAGAAAAATTAAATTCATTTATTTTGTTAAATGGAATTAATTTCAAGTTGAATCAATATTCTCTTACCGGATGTCAGACACGTACAATTGATTAATAGCTAAAACACAAAATGCACATTATTATTAAATGAACGTTCAAAACAAAATGAATGATGAGTCAATGTTACCTGGATATTCATTAGGAAAATAGTTTGGTTGAAATTGTGTGGGTGCCGATACATTCGGTACAACATTTTGTTGTGGTGTCTGATGTGGTGTGGTTTGATGTGGATTTTGTGGCGGTTGTGGTGGTTGTTGAGACTGTTGTTGTTGAATTACCACATTCATTGGCAGTTGTTGTGTTTGAGCTGGTGGTTGTGTTTGTGCTTCTAATCCAGTCCGTTGCCGTTGATTTGAATAGCGTTTCTGGTGACCTTTATTTAAATTATTTGAATTATTCGCTATTGAATATTTCGTGGACAAAAATTAAACGGGTTAAAAGGAATGACAGAGAATTTTTTGTGAATGTCATGCATGGAAGAATGTTCTACGGTATGGATTTAAAAAAAAAAAAAGGAAAAAGGAGTCTACAAAACAAGAGGGGTTGGTGTATCAAAACTAAAATGATCGATTTTTTTAATAAACATTTCTACATACAAAAAAAATCGCTTATTTTAAAAATTGACTGTGGCATATGCCGTTTTTTTTTGGTAAAGAATTCGACTAGAAATGCAACAACTACGATAGTGTATTTATCAATCAAGTTTACCAGCTCCTTGTATGTGTCCCATTGGTGGTGGTTGTTGTACTTGATTTATGGCTTGTCCATGTATTGCCTGTGGATTAAGCGGTGCGGCTCCAGTTGTAGCTATAAATTGAGAGAGAAAAAAATCATTCCAAAATTTTATCTAAAAAAATGCATTTTTTTGTCAAATCGTAACATACCAATAACGCTGGATGAAATAGGCAATGAATGGTTCGTTGTAAGCAAAGTGCTTTGGGAATTTTGTTGGTTAGGCATTTGATTGCCCGACTCTAGATTAATTGGTATTTCGTTGGATACTAATTGGAACCGTTGCTGGGATTGTGACTGTTGATTCTGAGATTGTTGCTGTAAAAATCAATAAAAAAAAATATCGATAAAATTGAATTCTAAACTTAACTTTGAAAACAAATGTCAGTTTACCATTGTTTGCTCTTGTCCCAACTGATTGATGCCATATTCTCTGCCTTGCATCGATCCAACATTCGAATATTCCACATTAGAAAATCGATTTGAATTATTATTAAGTTTCGAATTTGTGAAACTAATCGATTCAACATGTTCATCGTCATGATGATGTGAGTGATTACGAGATTCCGAATGACCACCGCTATTATTTCGATGATGCATTCCACCGCTACCGCGACCTTCATATTCGCTACTTCTGTTACGATTTTGATTTTTAAATTCCATCGTGCTTCGGCCATGGATTTTATAACCTTTGTCCTTGTTCTTTCGTCGATCATCCAAATCATTTTCTCTGCCACGACCTAAATCAACATCCACATTAAAATCGAACAATTCATTTTGAAAACAATAAATTGAAATGGAAAAACTCTTACTCGGCCCGTATCGATCATGTTGGCGACGCGACCGTGGTGAAATATCGCGTCGATCGCTATCACGCCTGTCATTCTGACGGCTTGGTATCTTCTTTCGACTCGCATAAATTCGATTATCGTCGTCGTTTTGATAATTCTGCCGTAATTTATTCTCTTTCTCTTCTTGACGATCTTGATAACTGCTCTTAGCACGGCGATCAACTTTCGAGCCCAGCTCGGGGAAATCTTCGGGACGTGGATTTCTTGGTGGTAATGCATTCTGTTTGGCATATGCACTTTCATCTTCCCATTTGCGAGTGTATTTGCTTGGGCCACGGCTAAAAATTGATCACAATTTAAATGTTAATCGCAAATCGTACCAACCTTAATATATATCACTTACTTATATCGACGATTACGTCGAGTTTTCGGTGGACCGTCTTCATTACGAATATCATAGCCATATGAATTCACCAATTCAGCACGTGACTTTGGCGCTTGCTCTGATTCATCATAATAATCATGCGCCCATCGATCTGAAGTCTTTTTTACTGGTTTCGGTGGCTGCTCATCAGCACCATCTTCCAACTCAGCGCTATTCGCATCGCTGTGGTTTTTTTAAAAGCAATTTTTATTTTAGTCAATTTGGAAACTTAAAGAAAAAATGACAATAAGAACATACGGATCATCGGCAGTTCGGTCATCGTGTTCATAGAAAACACCTCGCTTGGGGATGTATTGAGGATTGCTACGATCTTCATCGTCATCCACTTTCTTTCCTTCTTCGTTTTGCTCCTCTTCGCCATCACCACGTTGACGCTCCAAATCTAGTATAATACTTCCATTGTCACTCTCACTTTCATCTAAATCAACAATATCAAACGATTATTTTTTTTATTAATTATGTGTCTTCTGATTTTAAACAAGAAAATGGAAGAAAAGACGAAAAAAACTACAGAAAAATAGACGAAAAATATTAAATATTGGGTCAAAGTGATGATAATTGCAAAAAAACCTCGTTCAATTCAAAACTAACGAAAATTTCCCGGCGAAACTAAATTTTCATTATTATTGTTTTTTCGCAAATTTTTGCAAAACTTTTGACATATTAACTTCTACAAAAACAGACACATTATTAGATTCCAATCATTTCATTCTAATTCCAACCAAAAACAAAAACAAACATGAAAATGAATGGGGTCACAATGTTCATCGTTTGATAACAATAAAACTGTGCATGTTCACTCGACAAAATTAACTTGATTGCTTTTCATTCATTAGATTCCAATCAAACTTCATCTAACTGTTAATTAAAATGAGTCATACAATCGACCGACGTATTTAACATATGCAAATCAACCGGCATTAGTAGATGTTTTGATATCCAATACCGTTTATTATGTTAATATGCATCTATTTTTGAACCGAAAAGAAAAGAAGAAGAAGAAAAAAAAATACGTAATATATCGTTCGTTTCTTACCGTCACTTCTAATATCATCATCGGATCTATCATCATCATCGTCATCATCCTCGGATTCTCCACTGTGGCTGCCTCTTCTGCCACGTCGAGTCAAACTAATCAAAATCAAGGGCGATTTTAGATATGGTATTTCCTTTCTCTATTTATCGTTCGTTAAAAAAATTACCTTTCTTCATCATCATCAGCCTCTCCATCGGCATCATCATGCACATCATTTTCTTTGCACGATAATTTGCGACTTTCTTCATCGTCAAGATGCATCATGCCGGTTTTGGCATTGACTAAATCAATAAGACTTTCATCAACTGTTTTACCGCCACCAGAATCTCCGGCTGGTTCGGACTTTTGCAAAGGATCAGCTTCATCTGATGATTGTGAATCACTGGCCGTGTCATACTCAGAATCTTGGTGTGATGAGCTGGTTGCTGTTTTATTTGCATCAGAGCATAGCTATATTTGAAAGAAAGAAAAGAAGCGTAAAACTTTTTAATCAAATGTTGTTTATCGATGCAAATCGTTTTAAAATATCTCTTATATTCGAAGTCACCATTTGAAATCATTGTAATCGATAACATTCATGATGGTGAACCGAAAGAGAACAAACCATTTCAAAATCGAAATGGAAAATGGCAAACATTTTTTCATTCGGAATTTTTCTTATGATTATATAAAATTCGAAAGCGGAAAAACCATAGCAGCGGAAACCGCAAATTGAAGCGAATCAATCAACGATGCTCTTGTTTTACAGTATATGCATTTGCTTATCGCTTAATCTTTTCGATGATTTTCATATATTAATGAACATTTACAATATCGATGCAAGAATCAGTTTTTTTTTCTTTCAGTGTGTGTGATTGTTGTCATTATTTTGTCGTTCGGATGTGACATATTGGCGTTTGTTTAATATAGAGCAAAAACTGATTTCTCTGCACACAATTCAACAAAATATTTGTTCATTGGCTACACAGATGTTTGCACTTTGATTGATAGTCACGAACTTTATGCTGATACGATAAACGACGTCATCGAACTTACATCACATCCAAACGTGTTAATGAAATCTTTTTAAAGAATTGTCTCTTTCTTTGTCCGTTCTATATCACGATGTTTATGTCTACATATGCTTTCATTTTATTGTTTTAAAACGATAAAAAAAAAAACGAAATAACAAATCAAAAACTTAAACACGTACCTCAAACGTAACCGTCTCATTGGCTGTGTCTGAAAAATCTTCGCCATCTGAACCGACCTTTTTTGCATCGGGTGATTGTTGTGGAGGTGATTGTGACGGCTGTACGGTCGACATTATCGGCTTTTTAACTGGTCAATGTTTTTAATTGAAAACAAAACAAAAATGTTGAACTCTCTGGAGTCTGTTTTGTATCAGCGAAACTTGTTGTCGTCTCTTCGCCTGTTTTATATAGCTTTAGTTGTGTTTACGAAGCGTTTCCGTAAACTAAAACCTAAATTGTGTGAAGAGATAATCACAAGTTGATTAATTCAATCGATTTTCGAAAATTAATTGCATACAATTTGGCGGCGAAATGATTTGTATGCGTGATGTTTAAGTGAAAGTTGAAAAAAAAAGTAACAAAAATTCTGAAACAGATACGCGTAAAATTTGGTTATTTTTAAAAGAATTAACAGAAAAATACACATATTCGCTGTTAATTTGCTCATTTACCACACACTATCATTCATTCTACGGTATGCCCGCTATTCCCACTCACTCTTTCTTCTTCATTCTCAATCATTCTCTCATAATCACAAGAAAAAACACATTCATTTCAATTTATGCTAACTGTTGTATGTGCACTTTTCTCAGCATTTTTCTCTCGCTCACTATCTTTCTCACTCGCTCGCTCATTAAGCACCAAAACTAACACACACCTTAACCAAACACAATTTCGAATTTATTATCTATAGTTATTCACTTAAATCAAATCCTTTTTAATTTGCCACACATTGAATCATTCTTGGTTATAAAATTGCTTGGAATATGCTTGCATTTATTTCACATCTAATTATTTCAATGAATAATTTTGTTGTTGTTTTGACTCGGCCGCTTCTTATTCTTCATGCCAAAAAAAAAACTATGGAGTGTGTATTCAAGCCGATTTTCGCAAATTCCATACAATTTTATCCATGAAAATAACACCAAAAACATTTAATTTTTAACCAATTTACCACAATTATTTTGAACGTTGTATTTTGTTGCAATACACTTTTAACACTGCAATCATTAAGAATTGAATTCTTTCTAACAAAAAAATATAATATGTATTTTTGTATAGTCGTTTGCAATGCGACTTTATTTTTCTTCGCTACAATTACTTGTATGTATGCAGTGTTGTGTGAGTGTGTGCGCTCACTTCATGTCTATCGAGATGTGAGCGAAAAAAGAAATGGTACCGTTCAATCAACGAGCATTGAACGCACCTTTTTTCAACACAAGAATCGACTCGGTCAATGGTGGGCGATACATATACATGACTAATGACAGATATGCAGAATCGATAACTTATCATTATTGTACCGATTCATTTTTGTCATTTTATATTTACAACAATTTTCGATTGGAATTGATGCCAGCAAATAAAATAGATTGGAATTATGATGGTTTTATGAAATGACAATAGATGAATAATTTCGAAACATTTCGAACAATTATCCAAAACATTACGCTTTTTATCGACAATAGATGGCGCTGTCACAATTTTCGTCATGTAAAAATGGTCAAACATTTCGGAATCGAAAGCTTTTCATAAAATCTGTACGTCGACAATTATACAAACTTTTGAAAAAAAAGATAGCAAAACATTCTAGTGAATGGATAATTTTTGGAAAATAATTTATTTCTGCTATCTCTCTACAAAATTATCTAATTTTTTTTTATTGAATTTTTAGAAAATCTACATACATACGAAAAGAGTTGAGGAAATGAATGCATTTTTGTTTTCATTGTTGGAAATGAATGCACTCGGGTTGGTCTCTCGGCTAATGGAGCGAATACCAACACATCGACAAGTGTGTTTATAAAGCATGTTTTGACGTTTAATCTCATGTTTGAAATTTTTGTGTGTCAGTTGTTTGTAATTAGGTCGACGAAAAGGTTTTTAATTAGTTCTGTTGTTTACATTAATCTCTAAAACATGGAAGTTTTACAAAAGAATTCACAGAATAATGCAGGAAATTTTGTAAATGTTGTTGTTACAAGTATTGATGGGAATCAACACTTGATGTCTCAATGTATCGACTGCAAATGTATTGTGAACACTAGTAGCATCGCTAAATGGAACCATAAGTAAGAGAAAAAATCGAAGATTTTTTTCAAATACAAAAAAATATATTTTGTATTTTAGGAGACATTCTTGTATACAAAAAATCAAATTCATATACAATATTCCCAAGAAGTTAAATGAACATGTGGCTGTAACTTGTTTGGTGTGTTTCAAGAAATTTCCTATTGAAGCATCACAGTTAACGGCACACCGTCAAACGTGCAAAATATTTGCACAGGATGGACTGTATGACACGATTCGTATAACACCAATTGGATCTGGGGCATCTTGGACGCTACCGGAAAATAGTATACATATGTCATTCACTAATGACCAACCATCGAATCAAAGTACACAAATCAATGCCACGGTTTTTCAAGCGGTTGTTTCGACACAATGTAATACAGAGAAGGAAACAGTGACTCCAGTATATACCATGAGCGTGAGCTTAGAGCCAACGGGAATTAATATGCCGAAATCATCGGCAGCACAAAATGTAGCGGTTCAAAACCAGAGCAAAAATAAGATACCTAGATTGGTATCAAATCTAACTGCAATAAATGTACAGAATTTATCTGCCTCACAAAATTTAGCGGTTGAAAGCCAGAGCAACAATCAGATGCCTAGATTGGTATCAAATCTAACTGCAATTAATGTGACGAAATTATCGGCAGCACAAAATGTTGCGGTTCAAAAGCAGAGCAACAATCAGATACCTAGATTGGTATCAAAACCAACCGCAATAAATATACAGAATTTACCTGCCTCACAAAATGTAGCGGTTCAAAGCCAGAGTAACAATCAGATGCCTAGAGTGGTATCAAATCTAACTGCAATTAATGTGCCGAAATCACCAGCACAAAATGTAGCGGTTCAAAGTCAGAGCAACAATCAGATGCCTAGAGTGGTATCAAATCTAACTCCAATTAATGTGCCGAAATCACCAGCACAAAATGTAGCGGTTGAAAGCCAGAGCAACAATCAGATGCCTAGAGTGGTATCAAATCTAACTGCAATTAATGTGCCGAAATCACCAGCACAAAATGTAGCGATTCAAAGCCAGAGCAACAATCAGACGCCTAGAGTGGTATCAAAACCAACCGCAATAAATATACCAAATTTATCTGCTGCACAAAATGTCGAATCAAATCGGAACCAAAACAATAATGTGTCGACTATAATGAGCTCAAAACCAACCGCAAATAATTTACCAGTAAACCAGAACAAGCAAACAAATAACTTACGAAATGTCACCATAACAAGCACATCTCAAAGTCCCGCAACCAAAACACTAAATACTGTCATTGTTGATTTGCAGAAGCTAAATTACACGCCATTAACGGTTAAAGTACACTGCAAACCAAAGGATAAACTCGTAAAATGTGCAGAATGTCAATTTTGTAAACGTCTTTTCCTCATGGAATTAGTTCTTAGTCATCGGTAAGTGCTATTCAAATGATCCAGAATGCAATGAGAGTAATATTGAATTTTCCTACTCCTTTTTTCAGTAAAGAGTGTACCAGAGAGAGTGTGAAAGAAGTGCGGGAAATTCAGAATGTTCCGCAGCCGACTGAAGCACCTAACATCCAGCAAGAAATTCAAGCTCCAGCTGTCTTTTCAAACATCCAGCAAAATACACCGGAAGTTCAAGCTCCAGAACCAGCTGAAACCAACAATAATGCCACTTCGAATATCCAGCAAGAAACACACGAAATTTCAACTATGCCAATTGAAATATCAGGCATGGATGCCACTCCAACGATGCAACAAGAAATTCAAGCTCTTCCCGAACCAGTTCAATCCGAAGTTTTGATCAATGTACAAACGGTGCATACACCACTTGAGAATGAGTTGAATTCACCTGATCCCATTGAAAATGTTGATGCCAATCCTACACCGTCATCGTCATCAAAAGTCTGTTTCATTTGTAACACATCAGACAGCGAACCATTTGTAAATATGTACAGCACCTTTTCGGCCCATTCAAATACGCGAATTTTTCGATTTGTTTGGGAATTCTTGGATGAAAAATCGAAAAAATTGACAAGTTTGGAACAAGATTTCGTTTGCAATGATTGTCTACTTGAAATTAATGAATATGATTGGGCAAACGTTCGAGCTCAACAATTTAAAAAGAAAATCAGTGATAAAGTAACTAAAACTCAAGCACAATTTGAAGTGCAAATAAATGACCAGAATGATGGTAATGATGATAACGTTGTAAACGAAAATAATTTGGAAGAGGTGCCAATGGAGATTGATACCAATGACGATGCTTCAGAGGTGATCGATTTATGTGATGACGATTAAGACAACCAAGTATTCAATAGATTTAGTTAATTAGTTCTTTTGTAAGCTATCATACTTTTGTATTTTGAAACAGTCAATCCCGAGACCAGATGTTACCCTCTAAAATGTCTACGCTCAGATTTGCATATTATAACAATAAACTGAGCATAGTAGCCATAGTGCCTAGGTGTACGCTCTTAGAGTAGATGCTCATTTTGAAGTGTAACATCTAATCTCGGAATATTCTGTTGAAATGAACTTTCTCGAGTTTTTCCTCTCCGTGAACATTTCACATGTTTTTTGAATTTGTAAGAAAACAATATGAATTTATATATAATTATATTTATAAAAAAATGTTGAAAATGATTGTCAATATACCATATCCATGATAGAAAAACAGTTATCTGAAATGATTTGACTGCATAAAAAGACTCTCGGCTATTTTCGTATTGAATATTATATTTCTGTATTTCATAATTCATAAGTAACTTACATTGAACTTATTTTAATTAAATATTTGCTTTTCTTTAATTTTTTTCTTTGATTTTTTTTTTAATTACCTTTTATTTTATTTTTATTTTTCATTGAAAAAAGAAATATACGAGATTCTTAACAATTTGAAACTGAAGACAACCTCTTTTTTTGTAAAAAAAATGTATTTTGATATTAAGTTTCACGGTTCATTTTTGTTTTGTTTTATTTTCGAAATGTTGAAGAGAAACCAGGTTTGCTAACTACATTCTGCAAAAGAATATGAGGAGTGTAAAATCGAAATTCAGTGTGAATTTTTTGTTTTCATTTTATATATATGTATAGATCATTTTTAAATTAGTTTGAATGCATTTGCATATATAATTTTAGTTTCTCGTTCAAATGTGATCTAGTGTTTCACCATTATTCTTTTCTTCTTTTTTTTTTGCTTCGAGATTAACATATTATTCTCGCTGATTTTCGTCATACTTCTTGATTAACTACAAATATATTATTTCTGGTGTGTTTTGCTATATAATTTTTTGTTTTCTCTTTCCCTCTTTTACGAAATACATCATACAATGTATGTACAAATTATCAAATTAGGTAGATGTCTCTGGTAGCGGCACACGATTTTCTTTTGTTTGTTTTTGTTTTTCCCGGTGTTGTTTGCAGGATTTGATCAAATTCTGTGTCTTTGTCACAAAACTAAGAAAAAATATATATAATAATGGGTTGACCTCAATTCTTGCAGAATGAATATGTGTCTTTTTATCCCCCGGGATCTTTTTTTGGTTTTGAATTGTTCAAGTTTCAGCCGCATCAATAAATGCAAAATCTTAATCGTCTCTTTTCAAATCGCAAACATTTTGACAATGCAGACCCATCAAAATGTCAATTTACAATTGAGTTTTATTTACACCATTTTCAATGAAAACTCTTGTTGCGGCTTTTAATTAAAAGGAACAATCTAAATTCTAATGCTAAAAATTAAAATTATGATTCCTTGCCGATACCGTCTATGAAATCGGACATTTGACAGAGGAAAAAACAAAACCAACGAGATAAGAAAATGAGTTTTGGGATTTTAAGAGTTCTCTTAAGCTTATACTTCTAGTAAGTATTTAATAATCCCAATGTGTTTGAATTGGGCACAATTGTGTTGTGTGTGTGTAAAAGTTTTATTCACTTATTACGAGAGAAAAGAAAACGTTCTACTTAAATGAATAAAAATAATTAGTAAATCTAACAATGTGTGTTGTTTTTTTTTTTTTTCTCATAAAAAAATTCTACATTTTGTTTTTGCACACAGGTATTTTTTTGTCTGTTCAACTTTTCAATTTCTTCACACAATAAATTATATAAAGGTGATGCTTTTTTAACTTCTGGTTTTTTTTCTTCATAAATTTACAGTCAGAAAGGACACGCCGAATTACATGAAAATGTTGCTTTCCATTTTTTTTCTTCACATAAACAGTCGTCGATAGTTTGTTACTATTATTATTATTTTGTAATATTTTCTATTTGTTTTTCACTAAAATAATTATTATTGCTTGTGACTAAATTTTAAAAATATGGATTTCTTTTCATATTATTTTTTTTCTGGCCATTTCACTTACTCAGACTCCCCAGAATTTATTTAGTGAATAAGGAATAAAATATCGAATTTCGAATTTGTTTTTTTTCGTTGAATAAAAATCGTAAACCGACCAATTTAAAATAAATGATGATTGTTTATAACCTCGTCCCGAGTAGGCTTTTGCATTTTGGCTAGAGCTCTTTTTGGATTTTTTTTAAAAACCAACTGTCTTATATAGTTAAGACCGCCTTCTGGTTGACACTCATTCAAATACATGGGCATCGATTTGAGTAGGTTCTAAAATATTTTTTACTTTCTTTCGATCTCTTTTCTTACTTTCTCTCCAACAAAAACCATCGTCCAGTTCAAAATATTGTTCGCGTGTGTGAGTGTGTGTTTGTTTTCGCTATTTTATTTTATTTCCTTGATATGAGACAAAGAATCATGTGACAATCTTTTAAAAGAGCACATTTTTGTGCACATGGATGCCATTTCTGTTACATTCTTGTTTGTCTACTATTTACGTTTGAATTATTTTCGGTTCCACACCCCAAAATTATGCTGCTACATTTAATTCTTAACATCATTTCTTTCCGTTTATCCATCAATTCATTCCGCTTGTTGAATTTTTTTGTATATTTTAATACCCTGTTGTATATGCCTGGATAAGCTTAATGCCTTCTTACTTTTCTTGCTCAAAAATCTATGTATCTTTTTTCCTTTGCAACATGTTTTGGAGATTTGAATGTACTATTCATATACTTACACGCCTGATATTTAAATGATTCTCTGACCATCGACGATTTTTTTTATTTTACAATGACACGACCAAAAAAATAGCATAGAAAAAAAATCCGCTACCTCTAGCTGAACCTTCAACGTTCAGATTACCCATCCGAACAAATATTGAATGTGGACCAAAAGTGGGCAGAATCCAAAAAAAAAACGATTACGATTTTTTAATTCGGCAGTATACTGTGTGCTTCAAAACGAAAAAAAAAATATTTTTTGAAAAATTATTTCTAAATCAAATGTTATGGTTTCGTAACATTGAATCGAAATTGAAGTAAACCAAATAAGAATTTTTGTTTTTTTTTTTATTCATTTTATTGTTATTTTTAGGGCAATAATTATTCGTATATAGTATTTCTATTGCGCAATGATTATTAAATAGACTTTACGTGCAATCTATGTGTGTATTTTAATTACCACATTACTTAAAATCATCGTTTTACTCATTTCATTTCACCGTTGATGTTTCTTAAATAGCATTGCTTAAAAAAATGTCACGTCATTCTTGATCTCATAATAGTAATAATGATGTTTTTTTTTTGTTTTATAATAATAATATTAATAATCTGCCTAACGTTTTGCTTTTCTCCTTACCGATTAACAAATATTGGATTGCTATAAATTAAGTCAAATAATTAGTGGATTTCTTCATATTTTTCACTCTTCTATCTCTTGCGCCCTATCTCATGCTTTTGTTTTTCATATCTGTGGAACCTTTTGTATCTCGATACGCATTCATTTCTATAACAAATGCAAATAATCTACTTTCATGTGTAAGTTTTTTTTTTGTTCTTTAAATTTATTTTGCTTTCATTTTTCTATGGCCTAGTTTTTTTTTATTTATTTATTTATTTTCATCATTTAATTCATGTTTAGATCATCATTACAATTAATATTTTTTTGGCTTTTTATTCATACATTTTCATGGTATTGTGCTCGATGCACGACTTACATCAATTGAAATCAACAAATCGATTGATTGATAACGTGGACATCAATTGACCTAGGCCAAACATTAGCACCATATTTATTGCTATTCTTGATTTTATTTAGTTGTTCTTTCATTTGTTCATTAAATTCTTAAACAATTAATATCATTTGACATAAAAAATTATATACGATCGCTTTCCAATTCGATTTTTTGTCTTATTTTCCATCTGTGTTTCTGCGTTAGAAATGTGTGCGGCGCGATGTGCGTAACACTCTTTCCATCTGAGTAAAATACACTAAGCTCGAAGTGTAGTTTGGTTTCATGGTGTCAATATGTGTGCGTGTGTGCGTTGTTAGTTAGCACATTTTGCATAAATTCGATGTTGCTCAAAATGAAGACACAATTTTCAGAAGATGGTCGAATGAAAACCGATATTACATTGCTCAATCAAAAACAAATGAGCATCGCATCAAATTGAAACCAGTTGTAAATCTAACAATATGCAAGTATGATGTTTTTTTTATGAATTTCTATCTCAATTTATTGAGCTGTTTGTAACTCATTCATTTTGTATCATTTTTTTTAAATTTGCGCATACACCATGTTCGAAACCAGTAATTCAAAGAAAACCATTTTTTTGCCACTATTATTATTATGTGTTTGTGTCTTGCGTCCTCTATTTAATTGTGTTGTGTCGTTTGTTTATTCACATATACACAATTCATTTTTGAATAGTTTAAATGTTGCGTTCATTCTTGTGATCAATACGGATTATACTTCATGGAAAGTTCACATCCCCAAAAAAACTGATTATTTATATAAAAACCACATACGATTCATTGAATTTTTCATAATCGTTTTGCAATTGAACATGGAATATCCAATTACAGTGGGTGGTGCTTGGTCGATTGAAGCTTCCAGCACTTTATGGGACAGTAAAAAAATTGATATAGATGGAAAAAATAACTAGAATGAACGAATCACACATCAAATGACACAAATAATAGAAAGAAAAAAAATTAGTAATGCAACTTTGAACGTTTGAAAATTGGTATTTAAAATCGTATTTTTTTTGTTTGTTTCATTTCATAAATATTTACAGAAAAATTCATGTCTTCCCGGCTTGTCAAAATGTTGTCAGATAAATCAGGGAAGCATTGATGAGAGAAAACACCGCATGCGAATTATTTTACTCGAAAAGGAGTCCCATTTTTTATAATGATTTTTTTTTGTACTTTTATGTTCGATTTTTTTTGTCCACGCGGATCTCCTGTTCACATTCTGACATGGTTGGGTTGAATGTTGACAAAGTTGATGTTATTTTTATTTCTTTCAATTAGATTGACTACATGTTAAATTTGTAAGTCGATTGTTTTGATTTGGGTTTTTTTTAGGGAAAGAAACACTTTTAACTCGTATTCATAATAGTCGAGTATTATTTATATTATGAGTGTCTTTTTCTCAGGGAGTGCATTTTCCTATTTAATATTAACAACGAATGATACCTCCTCCTTGATATAGTCATTTATTCTTCTCTAGAAAAAAAATGTGTAGGTTTTTTTTCAATTTTTTTTTATAGAGTTATGTTCAACTTACACTAGCTATTCATTAAATTGTATGTAGACTTAAATATAAAGCAGTTGAATATGTGTATGTTGTTGTAAAGTGTGTTTTGTAGTTGTTAATATTTCTTCTTCTACATCCCTTGTCTCATTTGTTGTGTGTGTGTGTCTCATTGTTTTTTTTTTTTGTTATTTATTTCACTCAATATTTACTTTGCTATAATTTTATCATTCTCATAATCATGCGGTATAAATATATGTTTTTTTTGTGTTTTTTTTTTCTTCTTTTCTTGTTGTTTTCTTTAATAGGTTTACTTGTGAATTTTCTTGTATGAATAGCGTCTTCCATTTTCTTTTTCCCATCTCAATATTCATGTTTTTTTTTTTCTTCTTCTTTATTTGCTCATTAGTTGCATTTCAAGTTGTGTATCGTTCACGTTTTCTTTGCGGTTATGATCCGTTTGATGCTCTTCAAATCGAATGCTCGAACGAGTTTGATGCTGCTTTTTCTTTGTGTATTAAATTAATTTACTTCTTTAAATAGTCCGATTAGTATTATCACAATTCCATTTTTTTTACTCATTTAATAGTAATAATAATATAGATTTATATGCATATTATCTGTAATTCTTAAGTATAATTTACATTGTTTTGAAACTAGATTCACCATTTCCTTGTTTTTGTCATTTATTTACTTTAAAAACTTTTGCGTTTGCTTTTCGTCTCAAAGTTGTCAACCGTTTTGTTTGCTTTTAGGTGTGTTGTGTTTTTGTGTGTGTATATACTAGATATATTTATTTATATTTTATTTTATTGTTGTTGCGGTTGATGTTGGTGTTACGATTGTGTGGTGTGTAAAATTTCACGTTTCGTGTCGATGTTGTCTTTGTGTGGTTTTGTGAAAGCCGCTTTTTCGTCGTTTTCGTTTCGAATCACGTTGAAAGGCGACATTACCTGGATCATCGGCCAGTTGATGAAATTTATGAATGCTATGAATGTCAACGCCAATAAAGCCATCAACATCACCATGTGAAATGAGCTCTTCTTTTTCCTCTTCCGTCCAATCGCCACGACCTTGAAAACCGGCCGCAACCAATTGCTTTTCAAGTTCCCAAGCTCGTTCAACCGCTCGCTTATGTGCATGTTTCAGTATTCGATGTCGTTCTTGTTCGGGATCAACGCCATACTTAATGATAACAACCGCATCATGGCCATGTAAACGTAACTCTTTACCACCGGCACCACCATGATCGGCAATTTCATGTGTTGTCGTATTGAACATACCGCCAAGACGACGCAATTCTTCGGTATCATCGCGTAATTTTAATACATTATCTTTAACAAAATAGAATACATCCTGATCATGGATGCTAAAATGTAAATCGAGGAAGAACGAATTATTAAATACAGACGATACAACATCTTGCACAACACTATTTGAACCATCGACAACGCTAACCATTGCACGACCATCGATACGTGAAATAAGTACACCTTCACCAAATACACCGCGTCGATATGCAACACGTGGCAATAAATTTCGTGTCTTTGGTTCCATTTTTAACAATGGCTTCGGCACAAAACCAAAGTCCGAAAATTTCTCATCAATCTTTTCAACGATACACTGCAAACCGGACATAACACCAAAATCAGGTGCTAACAATGATGATTTTATTGTTTCTTGCGGTTGATAAACACGATCTTTTGTATATTTTGAACCTTGCATTTTATGCAAATCATAGCCAAACAATGACAACCATGAATCTAAATCGGTCATATAACGCATTCCATCTTTGCTGTTGATTGGATCATTATTGTGGAAACGATAAATAAATACATCGGTCGGGAAATTCATTGATGTTGCTAACGGTTCCCATAATGGTGTCATCCATTGTCCAACGGTTGGATCGTATAAACGATTTTCTGTAACAGAATATAAATAAAAAATGATTAATATCAATCGTTGAAAAAAATTACAAAAAAAAAAAATTGGGAATCCTATCTTACCGATATAAATTAATTTCGTGTTTGGATCCAAAATGCCACCATGGAAATCGACCGGAATTTGTAAATTGGTGTTGGTATTTTTGATGACACGACCAAATGGTGTACGGCGCACTTCCTTCACAACATTACCATTGATATCGAAGAATGCCAACGGTGAACCATTTTGATCGGTGGCCGTATAGTATCGTTGTTCACCAGTTTCAACAGCCACAAGCATATTACGATCATCGTATAACAATTGCAATGTTTTGCTTGCCTTCGGGAAATGAACGTGCGTCACTAAATTTGGTGTCATTGTATTTGCATAGTAGAATTGTGTAACATTTCCTTTGTCATCATAGATTGCAACCAAACGATTCATTTCATCGTAGAAATACCACGATTGGAACTTATCGCGTTCGAATGCATGAATCATTTGACCACGATTATTGTAACGATACTTTTGTTCGCCGCGTCGCACCACATAGCCACGTGAATCGTACGAATTGAATTCAATGTCACCGATATGCGTGACACGATCCCCGGTATCATAGCCCAAATTCATTTTATCGCCTTGTTCCAAAATACTGATGATATTGCCATTTTCATCTGGTACATATTTCCAATTATTTGTACCAACCACTTCCATTACATGACCGTCTGCATTGTAATTCACTTTGTCCACCGATGTTGATCGGCCAATGGTTGTTTTATACGTTTTGATGCGATTACGTAGATCATAATCAAGTTCCAACCGGAATACATCGAGCGATTTAATATTGACTAAAACACTCTTCACCCGGCCATGTTCATCGAAATCGGAAATTTGGAAAAATTGTTTGGTCGCATCTTGTACCACCGTACGATTGGCAGTGTTACGTGTTATCTTCAAATCGCTCATCGATTCAAGTGATCCCAAATTTTGTCCATATTTATACTTAACAACGGGCAATTCTTTGCCACCAATATCCATTTCAATTGCCGTTAAACGTGTATTACCATCATATTGATACTTGAAATGTGCAGCGGCCAACGAACTCTTCGAAACAAATTCCAATTTTTCATCACGCAAAATACCGGCATGATATTTAAATTCACGACGTAATTCAAAACCAGGCTCCAACACTTGAACCGATTTAATGAGACTTGATGCATCCTGATAGGTGTAGTGTGTTGACGATAAACCAGCCAGAATTGTTTCTAAGCGACCGGCAACATCGTATACATATGCCACTTTGCCCGATTGATGTGGATGGATTTTAGCAAGAATTTGACCGTCATCGTTGTACAAAATTTCGAATGGATGACGATTGATCGGTGAGAAATATTGATACTTAAAGAAACCAAGTGATGTTTGCAATGAGAATGAATGAATGTGTCCACGTGGTGTTGTCAACGATTGTAATGCACCAGCATTATCGTATTGCAATAAATAATCACTGCGTCTGGGTGTTGTCACTTTCAACGGTAATGTTGTCATCATGTCCTTGAATGAGTATACAATCGAACTGCCGTCACCATATTTGATTTCATTCAATCGACCACCGCGATCAAAGCTATACTCTTCTTTCAATTCACCCCATTTCCATAATGTCAAACGTCCGTTGCGATCATATTCCAAGTCGACTTCAGCATATTCGCCCGATTGTGGTTGGAATGAAATGGGCCGTGCCTGACGATCGTATGTAACATTAAGCAATTCAATTTTATCATCGACAAATACAAGCACCGATTTTGTTTCCTGTTCATATTCCAATGTCAGTATATTTTCACCATTAATGCGTAATTTACGGCCAACCGTTGTTTTGATTGGTGTCAATTGTCCTTTTTGTGCTTTACCTTTGGGTTGTGTACGTTTCGTAAAGAATCGCCATTCAAATCGATTTGCCAATTCACCGCCCACTTCAACCCGTTGCTTCGATGGCACCGGATAACTTTCGGCCAATAATTTATTTATTTCGGCCAATAATGCATATGGAACGGCTTCCATGCTGACCACATGATTCCATGGTGTTACACTCAATGTACTGCCATCCGCCTGAACGGTTGTTTTTGTTTCGGCTTTACCATTTCGAACAACAACACTTGAGCCTTGAATCAGCATTGACACCTCTTTTTGTGCATTTTCCGATACTTTAATTGTTGCACCGCGTACACTTAAATCGAATGTTAAATCAATCACACGACCCGTTGGTGTAACAGCCGATGTTAAACGTCCAAATTCATCATAATTATAAACATACGATCGTCCTGTTGAGTCAAGTTTTGTTTTAAGCAACCCAGTCGGTCCATGATATTCAAATGTGACATTGTAATTGTCTGGTGTGCTTAGTTCGTGCAACATTTTCATTCGAGTCATTCGAATCTTACACTTTTGACCTTTGGTATTCTCAATGGAATTCACTTGAGTGGTATAATCTCGCAGCAAAAACACTTTATTTCCGGCCGCATCGGTGACAGTACTTAATTTTCCATTTGATGTATTTACATTGTACGTAAATGTGTAGCTTGTTTCACCGGTCATAATATTTTTCGTCGCAATATGTTGTCCGAAACGATTGAAGATATAAATTTCTTGTGTATCTGGTGCAAATATTTCGTATTCACGTTGATTTGATGCCTCTGGAATGCTGGACATAACACTGCGAATGCGATAATTTGCTTGATCGGCAATGTGTACATGATTGTCGGGTGTAACGGCCAATGCAGCAATTGTATTGAATTTTGCACTTGTTGCCAAGAAATGATCGGCTTCAAAGCAATCACAACCACGTTCCAAACAATTGCACTTCGATTCGGCACCGGCAAACAATGAAATCTTGCCATCAGTTCCAATAACACGAATACGATTGATACGCTGTGAATCACTTTCGGCCACAAATAAATCACCCAACGGTCCAAATGCAATGCTCTGTGGCCGAACCAATGTGGCATGCGCAGCCAAATCGGAATCCAATTGAGTACTTGTCGATGTACAATGTAATGGACGGCCGGCCACCACACGAATCCGACCATCTGGTGCAATTCGCAAAATCATATGATCGTCAATAATGTGCAATGTATTATCAAGTGGATTAACAGCCAATTCGGTTGGCCATCTCAAATGCATTTCATCCACTTTTAATGTTCCTTCGCATGGCATTGGTTTCCAATGTGATTTATGCATATGATTTCCAATGATTGTCGAAACAATACCATCTTTATCAACCATTCGAATGTTTGTTCCATCAGCAAAATACAATGTATTATCAGATGCAATTGCAATCCCTTTTGGATACGCAAGCTTTGCTTCACTTGCCAAACGACCATCACCGCAATGAGCTTCGTCGGCTGGCAAACAACGTTCTAAAAGCGAAAAAATTCAATACAAATTAGTTTAGAAAATTGAGAGAAAAAAATCTATATAGTACAAAAGAAAACTACAAACCTCCAGAGCCCACAACCGGCTGCCAATTATGTTCTGGATCACTAAAATCGTCAACATTTCGAACTTTTATGATTTGATGTGATTCAGGATCCGAAATGTACAATGAACCATCCAACGGGCTGATTGCCATGTGATAACGATATGAAACTCGTGTTGCATTCAATGCAACAACTGTCTTAACGGTGCCATCAGTCATAATGCGACGAATATAATTGAAATCGCCAACATATAAACTGCCATCAGAGCCAGAAGCAAGTGCAACGGGTGCCAATAAACGTTGTTCGGTCGCAATACCATTGCAATCAGTACAATCGAGTGGTCGTTGATGTCCATCACCCATTGCCGTTAAGATAACACGTGGCTTATTCTTCAAATAGATATTTGAACCGTCACCTTTTTGTAAAATACCTTCATGGAAATTGTATCGATGATGTACATCAATATTCCATCCACCAACTTCTGAAATTGTCATATCGTGTCCATTCAGTTTTGTCGTTTGTACATCCCAAATGATATCCTTGCAATCGGTGTATTGATAACCAACTTTAACAATGGCCGTTGTAACACCATAAACACGTTGACGATAAATATTCAACCGATTCCATGCATATGTAAATTTAATGCCGGGATCCGCTTCAAACACTCTCTCGAATAGAATACCTTCGATTGTGATGCGCAAATGTATCAACGACAATGTCGATGGAATTACGTCTGGTGTTAATTGTAATTTAATTGTTGACAAATAGCCAGCCGCTCTCGAGCTATGATACACTAAATTTAGGCCAGTGCCGGGTATTTGCAATGATTCCTGTACCACTTGTGATTCGGCCAAAATGGCACTACGATCGGGACATGCACCTTGAAAACCTTTTGAAAGAGACAGATCGTTTAGTTTTGTATTGCATTAGAAAATTAATTACATTAGATCTAGTTTATTTTTTTTATTTTTTAATAAACAAAAATGAAAAAGTGAATTACCATGTTTCCATGATGCAAGTACAACTGGTTTCATTGTATCATAATCATGTGAAACGCATGTATGCGCTGTTATTGCAAGTGATTTATCTTCTGATGTTGACATTATAACCGTATCAATGATGATTACTTCATTCCATGGCACTTGGACGATGACGCTTTGTGGCCGGAATGGTGAACGTCCAAATTGTAATGTTATTGCACCGCCTCCATTCACCATTAAATCAAACCATCCATCATCACGTGTTAATGTGAATCCTTCCAATGGTGTTGATGTGCTCACCCGAACTCCGACCAGGCCCATATTCATTGATGTCACCACTCGTCCACGGATTACAGCTGACCGACTACAATTTCAAATGGAAAATTCATCATCCAAATGAAGAGACAGAGCGAAGGAGAAAAAAAAAGAAAAACAGAACCAAAATCCATTAGTATAACATATATGTATCACATTTCGTTTGAATTCGATTTCGAAAATGCATTCAAAAAGAATAAAAAAAACCGTAATTACAACGGAATAAAAAGTGTTGCAACAACAACAAGAATAAAAACCAAACGAGTCAACAAATAATAAGCTGAAAATAATAGATTCTCTATGTTGGAAAAACATCGAATTAAAAAAATGTCTTGGCTATTATATTTTTGAAAAAATTGAGCTATTTTTCGAATAAAAAAAGAGAGGAAAATCAAAAATATTTTTTTTTACTAATATCAACTGCTTCAAATCTATAAATAAGTTGAATGAAGAAAAAAGTAAAAAAAAAACTTCGAATAAAAAACGTACGTTCACTAATTCGAGCACAATCAATTGATTGTGATTCAATTGAACACAAAAAAAATCAATCAAATTCAACAAAATTCACATTGTTTCGTAAACGTGTTTGTTGGTAATACGATAAAAGATTAATGCCAAATAAATATAAAAAAAGTCTTTGTGAAAAGAGTAATTTGTTCTTTATCTACGCTAAAAGCATCGAATAAAAAAAAACAGAAACGAGTTCAGAGAGATAAAAATTACGGCATCAAACAAAAAAAACAGTGTCCAACATAAAAACAAATCAATCTATGGAAAAAACGGCGCTTTTTCGAAAGACGCTCATTCAATCAAATGGTATGCATGTGTGTCCTCTACGATTCGATAAAATGGAAGTATCACTAAAATCAAATTGTTCGCTCATTTATTTGTTTGGCAATGTGTCTGTTGCTCACTTTGAATTTTCCTATTTTTTTCGTTCGATTATTTTCTATATTATATAATTCGAATCCATTTTTTTTTAACAAGTTGCTTTATCTTGTACGCGAGAAGAAAAAAAAACTTCTTAATTAAGTTTTAAGTTTCATAATAATCTACCGAAATTCGTTTTATTTCATTTATTTTTGTAATTTCACTTGAAATCAAATCGATCGTCATTTCGTTCTCAAGTGGACGGCACAAAATACAAAAAATCACGAAAGACACACACAAATTCTTGGACAATATAAATTCAATTTGACAAAAGGATCCATGCAATATACAAAAGAGTGAATGATATAGATGATAGAGTGAAGAAAAAATAGTGGGAATAATCATAATAATAAATACAATTGTGAGTGTCATGTTAGTCACAAGCACAATAGCTCCAATTCAATGACATCGTGTAAATTGCATTTTCAATTATTTTACATTATTTAATCAAAAGGTGAGCACACAAATTGATACTGATTGACTCTTGACTCTTGAAAATTCGATATAAATGTGCACATGCATATCGAATTCCTCTCCTTTTTTGGTTTGGTTTGTTATAATGCAATTCACACGAATCGATTGATGGAGAGTGCTCGATTCAATGATTTCAAACTAAAACTACAGCTCAAAAATACACAAAAACACAAATATAATGGGAATTTCTGGTGATACAAAATCACATACAAAATACATATTGAATCAATCAAAAAAAGAACCATGAACAAGTCTTATACATAAAAATCAAAAACTTCAAACTAAATAATAAATACATTTTGTTTTGGATGTTTGTACAAAAATCAAATCAAAAGCTTTATACAAAAACTAAACATAGAAATGAAAAGATTAAATAAAAGTTGTAGTTTTTTGTGTTTCCGAAATGTATGTACATTATTTTTTGATAAATGTAACACCAGTGCGAATGTTTTGGAATTGATTAAAGGCTAATGTTAATTGATTGGTTTGATAGGGTGGTGCGTTGTTGTTGCTGGCATAAAAGAAGTTCGCAGAAACAGTGGACAGTGAAAATGCACAGACAGTGTGTGTGTGATTTATCTAAAACTAAATTCGGTTTCCATTTTATTGGAACGTTTTTCCTCCAGTTGGTTTTAGTTAGAGGAGACCAACGTCAACGACACACAAAATCTTATTAAAATTGTGTTTTGTTTGGTGTAAATAAAAAAAAGTGACACTGGCCCGAAGGTGTGAAAAACAAGCGTAATGCAGCAAAATGTCTATATGATTTTGGAGAAAATAGTGGTTGAATTGAAGTTTTGTGATGGTGAAATGAAAAAAAAAATGTTTGCATCGATTGTCTGCAATCGAAATTGATGAATTGGCCAGTGCACAAGAGTATTTTCGGAATATCGCTTCCGATCCGAACAATTGAAAAGCAAAATAGAATCTAATGTTTATGTGAGTGTGTTGTATGGATTGATGTGTGTTTTGTGTGTAGAGATCTACTCTCCGGTATGCGATATAATAAATGTTTTTTTGAAATAGCGAAAGAGAGTAATAAGAGAGATTCAAAAGAGAGACAGAAGAGACTAAGAGGAGCAAAAACCAAGCAAACAAAACCAAAAACTTACTAGTTAAATTGAAAATATGTCAAACAACGAAAACCAAACAAAATAGATATATATCGAAATCGCTTGCAAACTGAGGTATTCATTCTGTATTATCGCATCATTAGAATTGTTTTAATAGGCTTACCTTGCGTTGAAATAATTCCAAAAGATGCTGCACAACCATATTAATTATTATTTTTTTGTTTGTGTTTTTGCAGTTTGCGATTTTTGTTTTGTTTTGAATTTCATTCAACGATGAAGTAATGTTAGTATGTGTTTGGTTCGTGTTAAGTATTATTGGATGAGTTTTTGTTATTTATGTTTACAGGAGACAAAGAAAAAAAAACAGGAAAAGATGAGAATAAGATAATTTTGTGTTAGAATTTTTGCTATCAAGGTTTTTCTTAGAATTAAATTAAATTAATAATCGGCTAAATGTAGTTTTTCTTCTAAATAATGCGTTGTTTTCAACCCGAAAACAAAAACATCATCGATGAGCGGAAAGTAGAGAAACCGACCAATGCAAGAAACAAGACAGGGTTAGTAAAACTATAGAGCAAACAGCTTTTTTTAGTACCAAGTCCTCAATCAGTCACCAATTCCGTGGTTAATCATTTAAATAATCGATCGAATGAAGACCCTTGCCAGCCATTCATTCATGTATTTGTTTTTTTTTTTTTCAAATGTGCTGTATATAAATAGTGAAACCAAATAATATTTACATGTTGTTTTTGCAGTGGCATGGCATGGTTTTAAAATACAAAACGCGCTTGAATATTGTGTGAAACACGTTGGGATTTGATTTTGTATGTATAGATGTTTGTGTGTGTGTATACATGTGTGTGTTTGTGTGATGGGGGGGATGGTGGTTGGGATTTTTATTTTTATTTCCTCATTTGTATCTCGATTAAATAATTCAGACCACCACATCACACAATAACCAAAGTCATGGAAATTTAATGATTTTCTATGATGTACCATGAAGTTCAATGTGGACGCGCTGTTTTCAATTATCATTTGACAATCAAATTCAAACTGTTCAAATTCGGTGAAAATGTGTGCAGCCACAAATGCGTAAAACATTCAATTATAAAATCTATATGTATAAATTGCAAAAATCCCTTTGAACATTCGCGTTGCAACAGTGCGTATTCAATTTCATAATTGTTGTTTGCAATAAACAATAAACGAGCAAGATGAATAAATAAAAGAAATTAACAAAAAAAAAAATTCGACACAGAAAAAGAAACATATATTGAGATAGATAGAGCGAGAGAGAGAAAGTAAAACAAGTATGAGCCGACTAGAAATCGGATCAACAAATGAATGCAAATCCAATGGTGAAACGAAATAAGAATGAAAATCGAATATATCTAGATATTGTTGGCGAAAGAAAAAAAAACACAACAATTTTTCTTTTCTCTTTTTGCTTCGTATCCACAGAATAATAAATAAATGATAAACGCTGAAAACGGAAAACTCGATGAACAAAAGGAAAACATAAAGTCATTTGGGATGAGTGAGTTAGATTGACGATTTGACGGGGGCACAACAAAATTTTCTCAAACAATACAATATAATTTTTTTTTTTCGTTTCGTTTCGGTGTGTATATTGTTATTCATTAAATTATAGACTTTTATCTTCCTCATTCTGTATATATGTACATGTATGGAAATTCAATTGTTTTGGGATGTTTTTTTTTCTTCGTATTCTTGTATGTGTATTAATTTTTCTTTTTTTTCTGTATCAACAAAACTCAACAAACAAAAGAATGGAAAATCCGACAAAAGCATGATAAAATTACGACTTCAAATGAATATGCAATTTATTGTGCACATAAAATTGTGTGTGCGCGAAAGAGCGCTTCTGTATTGAAATAGATAGAGAAATAGAGAGAAATCCACACACACACACATAGAGACCGAGAGACGATTTAGTGTGTGTTATATATATTATTATTTGAATTTGATATTTATTCAACTTTTTAGCGTCAAGCGAACGCGATCGAGTGAGCACGGGTGCTCATTTTTTGATGTTGTCTGTATTGATGGTGGTGGCGGCGATATGGTGTTGATGTTTACAAATTCGAGGCTGAAAATGTGTTCGCAATCCGATTTATTTTATATTCTGTTAATTTGTGTATTGAGTTTTGAAACGAAAATTTATGTTTTCCGAAATGTTTTCTCTCGTTCACATACATCAAAATTATTATACGGATTTTGTCGGACGAGGATTGCTAGTGTGTGTGTGTTGTTGTTTTTTTGTTTGTTTCGTTCACACTCTACATCAATGTTTTAGTTGTTGATGTAAATGTGAAAATGTTTTGATTTGAATTTTGTACTGCTTGAAAATGCCAGGATGAAATACGTTGTTGTTTCATTTTGTTGAGTTTAGACGAATGAAATATAGAAAAAAATGTACATATTTACAGTCATTTGTGTTATTTGTTTACATATGTCGATTTGTTTCGTTTTTACTGTTCGGAATTTTTGAATTTTTTTTTTGGGTGTTGTCGTTTGTCAATTTGTTGTGTTAAAATGCAAAATGAATGTGAATTTTTCATAAGTTTTTTTTCCGTCTCATTCGGCATTTGATGATTTGAAAATATTGTTTTGTCATTTTAATTGTTCGATTGATTTCATGTTTTTTTTTTCGTTCCTATAAAAGTTTTTTTTTCTATTCTGAATTTTTTTTTGTAGCATAGGATCGGTTTGAAGCGGAAAAATGTTTTTGTTTTCTATTTTTTTCCGCGTATGTTCTTTTTTCCCTCAATTATGGTTTATAAAATGAATGCTGTCCATATGTTATTAAATGTTAAAAAATAGGTGGTTGAACATGAATAATCTTACCTTTCATTAAATGTTTCGAGTTTGGCATAGTTTTGTAGGCTTCCTTCATCGATAAGGAATTTCATTCGTTCAAAGAACGAAGCAGTTATGGCCGGTGGTTGTTTTCTCAATAGAACGTCAATGGGTTTTGGTGCCGAGACACACAACTGACTCGAACGGCATGCATGATTTTGACAACATTCAGGATCTTCGCAATCGACCAAACCGTCTAAAAATGGTTGAGCAGAGAAAAAAGCGAATGTTTTAAATGGATTTGTGTGTTAAATATATTTCCGATGTATACGATACATACCTTTATCATTGTCTTTGTTGTCCGCACAGTTTTGCTCTAATGCAACCGAACAATCGGCTCCATCCCATCCGTCGTAGCAACGACATTCCCATAGTCCTTCGCCACCGACACGACATGATCCGTGATTTGAACAACTTGCCGGACACCCTTCAATTGTACAATGTTTTCCATTCCATCCGGACACGCATAGACATGTGCCATTTTTGCATTGACCTAAAAAAATGAAGTTTAAAACATTATTTTTTCTTTTCACTCTTTTTCTAACAAGAAAAAAACATTTTTTTCATCTGAGAGTGGAACCACTCGATTCAACATCAAAAAATATCTCTCCCACACTAGGGAGTGCAGAAAAATAAAAGAATATGAAAGTAATAACTATAAATCTGTACTACACTTACCATGTTCGTTACACCGCCCATCACACAATTTTGTATTACAAAATTCACCGCCCCATCCACTGTCGCATGAACAAGTTTCACCTAAGCATTTTCCATTTCCACAATTTAAATCGCAAATTTCTGTATCGTGTCCATTCGAAAATAATAGAGCAAATAAATATCCAATTAGAATCTCTGGTCAAAAGATGTAATGATTGTCGACATACACACACACACACATATAAAAAAAGCAACACATTACCTTTGGAGCAATCGTCACCACTCCACTTTGGTTCACAATTGCATGTTTGTGTATCCAAATCGAATGTACCATGTCCACTGCAATCCGGCAGACATTGTAATGCGTCTTGATCCATAGTTCCACAATCGGGTCCTTTCCATCCTTTTTTGCAGATGCATGTACCTTGTGCACAGAAACCATGACCTGAACATGGCAACCCTGAGTTGTTATGTGGACAATCGACTGTTGTATGGAAGTGATTTGTTGCAGACGCAAGAACAGAACACAACCAGAAAAAAAAAGAAAATCATTAATAGTTTTAGTCTATTATGGTGTTCGAAATCGATGGATGATGGGGGAGGAAAGAGATTTTATTTTGTCTTGTGTCGAATCCAGTTAATGAGGCACACAAGCTTAGGCCAAATGACCTGTGCAATGGTGCATCCAAAAAATGAACGGCGTAAAATAATGTTGCTCATTTTGGCATTCGTTTGTGTCATGTTGTTTTACAATAATCCTCGAAAAAGTAGCTTCGAAAATTTATTGCAATGATCTTTCATTTCCTTGCAGTTCGGTGTATGCATTGCATAGATAAGTGTTCCGCAACAACAACAATAAAAAATGTTTGGAGGGAGGCTGCCGCACACATAGAACATTGCAATAAATTTTCGGACCTAAACATATAAACGAAATGAACACTTTACCTTCTTCGCACATGGCACCTTTAAATCCCCGAATGCATTGACATTTGCCTGTGCCTGTCATGCAGTGACCATGGCCGCTGCAAATTTGCCCATTTGGTGCCATTTCGCATTCATCATGACGCAGCGTACATTCTTTACCCTTCCAACCAGGATTGCACTTACATTCTCCATCGATGTAGTCACCCTTCTGATTGCAAAGCACGGGACACACGCCTATTTGATGTAATTAATTATACATAAGCATTAGAAAAATACAGAGTGGATATGAGAAGAGATCGCGTGTACAGTGGAATTGGAGAGAGAGAGTTATGTCGAACGAAGCTATGCTCAAAGACCGAACGTACCACGAAATGCATACGTTTTCAAAATTTAAATTCAATTGACTATTTGAACCGATAAAGAGCATGCAGCATTAACGAAAAGCGAAAGAGATCCAGGGTCAGAGAGAGAAAGAGAGAGAGAGAGTGGAGTCGAGTGTAGGTAGGTGAGGGTGGATTTTGCGTATATTACGCATTAAATGCATGCAGATTAATTCCAAGTGTAGGAATGATTATCTACATCGAGACATAGCGACATGTCTAATGAAATCAAAACGATGAATAAATTTATCTCTCTCATTCTACTTCGTTCATGTTGTTACGGTTGTCGTGGTTGTCGCAGTCTACGATATTGTATTATAGTTGTTGATGTTGTTGTTTCTGTTTTTTTCGTGTGTGTTCCATAATATTTTTGGTTCTTTGTTCTTAATGTGGGTGCTCAGTTTTGTATATTGGACCGTTGGCATATAGATTGAGCATTTTACGCTTTCGAAATGGACACGAAGAATTAAAAAAAACGAGTATACAATGCTCACATGCATTATGCTCGGTTCATTGAACATTTTCGATTTATGGGATGTTGGATGTCCATATAATACAGCACTCTTTCGATTTTGGAATCTGAACATCCATCAAAATCTTTTTGGTGGCAAATTTTTCTCATCTCGAGACACCAAACCAGAACACATGATTGAACGAATAATGAAGTTAAACTGACTGCAGAATTAAATTTTTGCTTTACGCTTTCTCGTAACCCTTTTTTCTCGCCCGCTCTCTCTCTCTCCTCGGATGGCCGATTTATTCATTGTTGCAGTGAAAATTTTGCAAAAGAATCTAAAACATATAGAACCACTTACTTTCGCTGCAGTCATCGCCGCCAAATCCTGGATTGCATTGGCAATGACTATTACCGGAGCACTGACCATTACCGGAGCATCCATTCGGACAATTTTGTGTCATGTCATCGGCAACAGCTGCATAAAATGTAATCTCCTGTTCATCACCGTCATCATTATACAATGAAATAAACCAATGTCCCGGCTCCATATATCGTGTCACTTCTCGGCTCACCGATGGTTGCTATACAAAATTAAATGAAACGACACGAATTCCGATTAAGCATTATTTTATCACCGATAAATGCATTCAATTTGTGACGACAGAGAATCAAGCGATTCATCTGTGCGAGAGAAAAAAGAAAATAGATCGAACTTACATGAGTTGAGCGCGTTGTACGAGCATTAAAACCGCTTAAAACTTCTTTAAAGTGATATTGAGTGTGCGTTGGCAGTGCATTTCGTCGTGCATAAACACCAATCGATGCACCTCGTGGTATATTGTAGTCAAATTTAACGTAGGCCGGTTCGGATTGATAAAATTGCATATTCCAGTAGCTGTATGGCGGTATTTGCTTCGATAGCTTTTGACCAAGTGTAATTTGCGAAAAAGTTGTGCCGTCTGGTGGAAAACTACGAGCTGGAAATGTTCTTGCACCTGGAAGATTTTCGATTGCAACAACGACAATACACGTGCACAATGTACAAGAACGGCAAGAGAATAGAACAAAACAAGGATAATGAACGATTAGATCAATATGAAAAGCTGAATGATAAACTAGCTATTAGAAATGAGAAAATTATGTTGTATGTGTTTTTTTTATTCCTGAAAATTTTAAAAGCAAACAAGCATATATACACAAGTAAATGTATTTTCATCATTTCAGCACTGTATTTTGTGCTCTGCTGGCAGTAGTACATAGATGATGGACGGGGGAAAAAATGGTTCGACGAAAATTATTTACAAAATAAATGCACTCAAAATGTTTCACGTTTCGAGTTTTGTACACACTTATAGAATTATTTCAATTTTCACTTGTACTTGGTTATCGTCTCGAGTACGTTTAAATGTTCTCTGCTTTTATATATAAATATATGTGTGTGTAGATGTATGAAATTGAAGCTGAATGGTTTTTTGATGACATTACAGAAATTCTCATTCTTCGTTGATTGAGTGTAGTTGAGCGAACGCGCACACTGGCTGGAGCGCACTGGCACACGCACTCACAAACACGCTCATTCATTTTGGATGATGCATAGAGCCTGAAATGGATTCATGGAGTCCTGAGTTTCAACCAAATGTTTTTAGATTATATCGTACGCGTCAATATCCCCAACGGAGTATATACAAGATGTTTGTATGGCTATATTTACATTAATTTCGTCTATTTCTTTGGCGTTTTTCTTTTAGCATTTGCAAATATATATATATCGTACACTTAGTGTTTAGTTTACGGAATGTTATATTAAAATGGCTTTTGTCTTCCGTCGTTGTTGTCGTCGTCGTCGTCTTCACACCACGAATTGGTGAAATGGAGTATGTACACATCTACACACAGAGAGATGTCAAAACATATCAATGCGTCTGTGTTTGTATTATTTAAATCGATTTGATGGTTTGATAGAAAAGGAGAGAGTGTGAATGCAAGGGAGCGAGCATGAGATACGAAAATGTATATTTTCCATGATGTGAATGCGATGAGATGTGTGTGTAAGCAAATCGCTTACCTTCTAAAATTAAAATCGGTGGAATATCTTGATTGCACAAACCAAAATTATTGTTGTTAATGCGATTGTCAGTTCCATTGTAATCAGGCACAGTTGTTGCTATTGGCATTGTTATCGTTTCATATTCATTTTCAGTTTTACCGTCTGTTTTGGTGACAATTAAACTTTCATTGCTTGGCAAAGACGACAAGTTCGATGGTGATGACGATGATGATGGTAAATGTGCCGACGGCGTTTGTGTGTCGAATGAATTTGTGCACTCGATTGTTTTATTTAAATTTGCAATAATTGAATTCAAGCGAGAGATTTCGCTACTAAACTCAAGCATTAGTTCGGCAGATTTGCGTGCAACGCTACTCATTTCAACTGGATCACGTTCGACAGTTGTGCTTTGCTGTGGTAGCATTGTTGATGGGGGTTGTGGGTTTGGTGGTGATGATGATGTTGTTGATGATGATGATGATGATGGTGTCGATCCAGCTACTAATGCACCTACTTTACTCATATTATTGTTATCGTCTTTGTTGCCATCTTGTGACATTCGCATTGGCATCGGCCTAATGAATATCGGTGGCTCATGAATGGCAGGCTGCGGTGAATTGTTGTCAAAATGTGCTGGATTTAAATTGGGTCCGGCTGGAACGGAAACATGTAGCATGTAAATACCATGATTCTGTGTACCATCACCTGAATCGGTGCCGATTGACACATTCACTAAAATTCGTTGCATATTTTGTGCCACATCTCTGGCTTTAATTGAATCGTTGTGCACGGTGTCAAGCATTTCATACCGCGGTTCTTGATGTTTAATTCCCGCCAACGTTTCAACATATTCGTTACCATCGATACGATTCGCATTTGAATGTAGCGGTTTATCGGTTTGTTTTGGTGCGTGCTTTGTACTCAATATTGAACCGTCATTCACATTCACATCGTTATTTTCATTCAGATTCGCACTTGCATCACCATTACCATTTGAAATTGAATTTGAATCGGCAGCATTGCGTTGGTGTTGTTCAAATGAGTTGTGCTGTGTGTGTTCATCGACCCCGGTCGTTGAATCGGTGTCAAGATGGTTAATTTTCAAAATCGGTTGCTTATCATATTGAACAATTATTGCTGGTGAATCGTTTTGCAAAGTGCTATCATTATCATCCGGTTTGTGGTCGATATTATCATCGAATGTCTCATCAAATTTCATACCATTTACGATGTCATTTTTGTCACTTTCGCCATCGGTAATTAATGGTTTCGGCGTTAGATTATCAGAACTTGTCCAATTTAAATCATCTTGATCCAATTTTGAGTTGGATGACAACGACGACGACGACGATGATGGTACTTCACTTTGTGTGTGTATTACGTCATTCACTTGATGACTATCATTAACCACATTTTCGGAAACCAAAGTTTCGTGAATTGAATCGGTTATTAATTCAAAACTCTCATTAAAATCATCTTTTGTTGCAGGTGAATCAGGACTTTTGTCATTCTCATTATCTTCAACATTTGTAACATGAAAATCGTTCACATAAAATGGTTCATTTTCCAATTTTACTGTGCGTTCGCTTACTTGAGCTACTGTCGATGTTGGCATTTTGGTTGATGCCACCACTGCCTTAATTTTGTGAAGCATCAAATTACTTACATCAAACTTCCGGCGTTGGTTTTCAACGTCAGAAATCCCATCGTTCGTATCGCTCTCATCAAATTGATAGTGTGCATTGTTTACCGTTAATGGTATGGGATGGTCCCAACTATTTCCGTTATTTTCAACATTTTCCTTTTCGTAATCCACAGTAAAACCATTGAATAGTAAAACATTCGAATCAAAACCACTACCTTCAGTAGTTTGAAGCTGTTCATCGTTGTTGCCATTAACATTTTCAGTGTCTTCTTCTTCAGTGGCACTGCGACGTTGACGACGCACATTTTGTCCATCAATTGTTGGCATTTTTGATGGTCCATCGACCGAATTTTGGTCACCAAGCGGAAAAATACGTATTTCCTCATCGTTACCACTTTGTATAAATGTGTGTTTTCGTTTATTTATTGTTTTTGCTGCCAAATAGAAATGTTGTCCATTTGTGTTAATTTTCTGCACACTTTGTTCATTAAATTTTGTCGTTTTCGTTGTCGAATGTTTGGCATTATTTTGATTTTGTCCATTGATATTTGTCGATTGGACGATTTTATTTTTATCATACAATGTATTGTCAATGGACAATGCTTGTTTCGATCGTAAAAAATGTCTATAATCAAAAAGTTTATTTAGATTACCTCCAATTGAACTAGTTGATCCGGTTGTCTGACTGCTAATGTCGCCCGCGCCATTATTCCCATTTGCAGCTGGATTTCCGGCCGATGATGGCGATGACGTCGATGAGATTGATGGTTTTGCTCGATTCGCCGTTGATTTATTATTGGTTTCGGGTACAGTACTTTTTGCGGCTGTTATTTCCGAGTTATCACCGACTAGAACATTACACGCTGGGTTCGACCATGTCAAAACATTTGATCCTAATTTGTTTGGTTGCGTTGTGTATGTGTGCGAGATGGTTGTTGTTGTTGTTTTTATTTTTGTATTTCAAACCAATATCATCATCGTCATTGTTATATTTACAGTGGAATCGATCATCGACGACGATGACGGGAAGGAAAAAAATCAGTTGAAAAAAAAAATGTGCGCAGTCCATTGAACAAGTAAATGAATCGCCATAAACGCCACGTGCACGAACGAGCAAAAAAAAAAATTCAGCGACAGCACCGAATGTGAGTGTTGATATGAGAAGAAGAAAAAAAAATTAGAAAATAGAAAGATTTATTACATTAATGTCTTTTGAATTAGAATGAATAGCTTATTTATGAAAACAATAGCCTAATCGTTTGGGTGGAGTTCGAACGTTCGAAAATGTGATGGACAAGAAGAGACAGAGACGAAAAAGGACAGAATGATAAATCCAATCAATAACATGAATTATACTGAATGCATACTAAATACGCTGACAAGGAAGACCGAAGCGGCAACGTGAAATGAAAAAAAAAAAACAACACACAAATGCGACACACAACAAATCTCAAAGCCATAAGAAGAGTGTAGCATTTTTGCTGCGATTGAGTTTGCCAGCGGCAAGTAATTGGCGATTTATGTATACGTACAGTGGTTTATTATATTTCGACATTTCGTAACAAAACTTTGTTCGTCTACTACATTACATGGTAGTAGATAAGAAAATGAGCGGAAGAATTTATCATGATCCGAGTGACAGTTGAAGTTTTGGGCTTTGCCAATTTATTTACGCTGAAACTATTCCAACTTTAACCATCAACTTTTAACCTCATTTTTTTCTGGTTCGTCCACGGTATTGACATTGTATTTCCATAAAAACGAAATGCCACCGTTTTCTATGTCCGTTTATATTTAGAAAAAAAAGACGAAAACTTTTTAAATTTGTTAATGTTTTAATTTGATTATTTTCAAAAGTTTTCAGAGAAGTTTGTCCGAGTGGAAAAAAAAATCGTCGAACGAACATAATTTGATTCAAATTGGTTCTAAGAGACACGAATTTCAAAAATGATGTCGATCTCCATTGTGCCATAAACGGTTGCCATTTTTTATTATATAATTTGATTGAAGATTATGGTATTCACGCACATCAACTCGAACCAAAAGAAAATTGCATGGAATATTTGAGTATGTGTGTGTGTGTTATAAGTGCATTTTTTGACATATCTAATTTAAAACTTAAATTGTCCGATATTTCAATTCAAAATGAATCGAATTATGAAGTAAAACTGGTTATAAAAAATTCATGTGATTTTTCAGCGAACGAAAAAACAAACAAACTGGACTGGCGACGAATGTCTTTGGGGTCACTACCACAACAAACATTTGAAATGCTATTTGTATTTACTGTTTACTGATTGTTTCGACACAACCGAATCGATATTAAACCGATGGAATTTCTTACCTGTGATTAAAATCAATAATAATAACAAAACAGCGCTGAGTAGAATGACAGCAATTGCTGTACATTTCCACGAACATTTAGCGGCTATTCCTTTTCGGAAATTCAATGGTGCTGAATAATGATGTGATGGTGCGCCACACATTGCGCTACGCGGTGGCAAAACGGGACCACTATAATTTCTATCGTACGATTTTAATGTGTCTTTTGTAGGCGTTGAACACGCTGAACCACTTTTATAATCTATGGGCGATCCTTTATTAATATCTGAAAAAAACAAGAAAATGCAAAAAAAAAAACATTAGTTAAAGATTAGGTTAAGAGGGTGAAACGTTTTTCATCTTTTTCTAAAAAAAAAAACAGGGGTAATACTACGTGAAAGGCCAAGAAATGCGATCAAAGTAAATTCTAATGAAATAGGAAGTGGGAATCGCTGGTTATAACGTCATCAATTATATGAACCTCATTCCCCTGACCGTACTGGCAAGCTAAAAAAATGTTCATAGTTTGGAGTCATTTTCATGGCATTTGCAAAGTTTGATCTTTGGCTCGATGACCCTTTGAAGATATCATAAATGCATTTAGTTTGCCATCGCCGGTTATCATGTTTGTATCATCATCATCCAACGTTGTCGTCGGCGTTCAAGATTTGTTGTCCGCCTCTAATATACTTTGGTGCCGAATTGTGTGTCTAATTTTTGTCAGTACATATCCGGTTATTTGGAATTTTGTAGAAAAGTTTGGTCGTTAAAAAACATCATCGGCTGATACATTGTTTTGCTATGGCCGCAATTTCTCTCGTTTTCTTTGTCTTTCCGTCTCCCACACGATTTCAATGGTCGCATATAAACGGGATGCGCGTCATCACATTTTATACAATATATATATTTCAAAGGGAAAGTCATTACACGAGTTTTGCATTATAACAAGTGGACAACAAATCCCATTCCGTTTTGCCGAATGGTTTATTGTTTTTCGCCAAGGCACAATCAAAAACACACTCGTAATTTTCAGCGCATTCGTTAATGGGTTTTTCTCATTCACCGACGTAAATATAACTAGAAATTTTGCTCATCATTTTGCTCACCCTCTTCTCATTCTTGTGCACATTTTCATTCTATCACAATTTCGACCCCAATGTGTTCAATAATTTTCGTTTGTAATTCGTATCATCTAATGTTGACTTTTTGGCGTAACGTACTTGCACACTGTCAATTTACGCCATCGAACAACATACAGCCGAACGAACGTTGATTATGGATTGTGATAGAAAAGAGAATGAAGAGAAAAAAAAACGCAACAGTAACACTAGTAATAGTCGAAATGTGACTTCATTTGCGTCGCCCAACATTGAAACGTTCGCTTAAGAAACTTAAATTGAAGTTGAATGCCTGTTTATGGTGTCATGAAACTTTTCGGCAGTAACATCAAAATACTCTTCAAATAAAAGCGAAATTGCAATTGAACGAGAGAGAGAGAGAGGGAGAGAAAGAGAAAAAAAACCGAATGATGATGGTAGACCGAGATTCTGAGAAACGAGACACTCTCTCTTCCATGCCATTCACTTAAACAGAAATCAGACTTACGGACGATAATGATAACGTTGATGATGATTATAAATAATAATAATATCGTAATTTAACCTCATTCACAAACAGCAACAACAACAAAATTGTCATTTTATATACCGACGATAAAGTGATTGATTACGTATGCAAACAAGTAAATTGCAAATCCAATTTATAAAAAATCCATTCCTTCCTATAGAAGAACCTATCGACCAAATCAAAAACTGATGTATGAGACGAGGGAAAAAAGGACATATCTGATATGAAACATTCCCTTTTTTTTCAAACAAATTGCATACACACACACATGTCGATGTACTAACAAAAAAGTAGTCTGCACGAAACAACGATATAAATTTGCATTAGATTTTTGAGCACCTATTCATGGAAGGCGAGCCCGCGGCCTAATTGACAAAGTAAATACGATTTATGCAAATTATACGTGATGAAAAATTGATACGATAACCGATTCAGAGCATTAAAATCAACGATGAGCTCTGTCTATATCGCGTATTTTGCCATCATCATTGTCGTGGCCGCCACTGCCGTCGTCGTTGCTGTGATTTGCTTTCAACTGAAACAATTCACATTTTCAGAAAATGACTATTCGTCGTGTACGTGGCGAATGGCCCAATATATTCGGCTGCATTCTCTCAATCAATTGTAGAACAAGCCAGCCGTCGAATGAATACATTGCATATATAACATATGCACTAAAAATATTGGTGAGCATAATATGTGGCACACATCGACCTGAAACTGTGTAACTTTAATCGAATATGTAGAATAAAAAGAAGAAGAAAAAAAGAATTCTAATTAGATTTTTATTTCGACGTTTTTGGTTGTGTGCTTGAAAATTGCAAATGCCAAATAGCGATTATGTTTAGCAAAGCGATTTTCTACGAAATGGAAAAGAAACGATTCGAATACCGAATTTGCTTTAGCACAATCTATACGTATAAATTTGCATCATCATTTATCGACTTGAATTTTCACTTTGCTGATGCTGAATAGCATTTGTGCTTATCGTGCACAATATATTTTATATGGATGGAGAGTGTGAGTGTGGTTGTGCGCGCACATGATTGTGGATATTTACGTAGATCATAAATCGAATCGATGCGAAATCATGGAACGAATTTAGACACGATGAATTTTGATGGAATGCTTCGCTGACCTGATGCCACTTTCATGAAAATCTCTTGGCAAACTCACGTACACACACACACATTCGGCAATAGCAACACCGAGTGAACAAACGAACGATTTGATGTGTCGCATTTTGCATTGAAAGCATGTTCCGAAGCAAAGTGGCACGTTTTATTGATTTTCTGTTTGTTTTTATTTTCTCATTTTCGCGTTGATTTCGTTTGTGTTGCCTTTTGTGTTTGTCCATGATTTGTTTCTCGTTTTTATCGCACCAACATTTATATATGAATGCATTTACGTCAACACTCCATTCATTCGTGTTTGTGTGTCGCCGCTGTGTTTTTTTTTCTCTGAGACAAGACAACGAAAAAAAAAGATTCCGAGCAAATTTCCTCGGGCCAAATTCAATTCGGTGGCAAATGCTGTTGTGTGTGTGTGTGATGGTCTCGAATCGAAGAAATTCAAAAATTGCACGCACACATAAATTCGCCCAAATAGAATTTGTAGTCGAATGAATTCCATAACACGCATTACATACGTAATATTGTTTGCTTGTGTCTCTTCTTATTTCAGTGTGTTCTAGTGCTGCCGATTTTTGCTGAATTTTTTTTTCTCATCATCTCTTTTCTATCCCACTTCTCTGCTGTTGCGACAACGATAAAATTCAATAACAACTAGAACGACACATTCATTCCTGTGAGTCAATCATAAAAAATTCAACAGAATGTCGCTTCTGGCGATTATGTGAAAATTTTCGAATGATACAAAACCAAGTGAAACACTCGCAGAGAGCGAGAATACGGTATAGAGATAACAACACCAGCCAGTCAGATAGAAATTCAATCAATGTTGAGGTGCTGCGACGTTGTGTCGAAGACAAAAAAAAATCCAATTTTTGTTTCCATTGTTACATTACATTTTCAATGAAAAAAAAAGTGCGCGTTGCAATATCAAAAATGAAAGTAGGTGTTGAGTCCGAATATATTCGAATATTCACACACCCGTTATCATCTCATAATAAAATCTCTTATTGATTCCGACGAATTTCAAAGTTTTATCAATATTATGCGCGAAATATGTGTATTTCATTTTAATAATCATACGATCAGTTTTTTTTCGTTGGCATAAAAAAAAATTGAGCGAACTTTTTTTTAACATTTGTTTGTCAAATATGTGAATATGTGAGCGCTCATCTGGTGCCGAGTTGATGTTTTTCTCTCTCATCTTTATGCTCACATTCGCAACAAATTCATGCACATTCATTACATTTGCTGTGACATTCGTTTGCCATGCGAATGTTCATCTCAATATTCATTCCCCTCCCCCCCCTCTCTCTCTCTTTCTCTTTCAAATGTTGAATTTTATCACAATTCGAATAGAGATTGATTTGTCAGTTTGTAACGCCTCTTATATTCGCATTTTCTGCGAAACAATGGCAAATCTTCCATTTGGAATTCAAAGAAGACGCACATCGTGTCATCTTCAAGATATGTTTATTGTCTTGTTATTTTTCTTCCTTTGTCTTATTCCAGCCGTTCAGTCCGTGATTCGTTATTCGTGGGTGTATGTTCGCGTACTTATTTTTTTTTCGTATTCGCCTAGCGCCGATATTTTTTCTTCATCTCATTTTTCTTTTTGTTTTTAAAGCCTGTCATATGAATTCTGACATATTTATGTTGATTGCTCTCTTTAGACCGAACTCGACACATTTGGCCTGAATATTTTCGTTTCGTTGGTGCGCGTGCGATATTTTCGCAACTCAGATTCCTTCCACTTCGTGCAAAGTATTTTAATTATGATTTAATAAGAATAATAAGAAAAACAACAACCATAATAATAATATCAGAATCAACGTCAACAATTTTGAGCAATAAAACCATAACAATGCATAAAATATTATTTGCTGAAGCAAGCAAAGCGCGCTCAATTCGCGCAATTTTGAATTCAACTACCATCAAAAGCTAGGGAACATTGCATATTCGAATAATAAACACAATTTTACACGAAAATGAGAGCATCAAGTTGGTCGCGCACAAGGATCAGCAAGAGAAAGAGAGGGAGAGTGGGAGCAGAGAGAGAATGAAATTTCTGCTATCAAAATTTTTTTGATTTATTTTCGAAAAAAAGTTCGTTTCGCGAGACTAAAGTATGCTCAAATGGAGAAATGTGGAAATACTCTTTCAAGGTCTAGTTTAAATCTGAAATTTATATTATGGTTGTACTGTTTCCATCTCTATTACGTGTACGTAAATTTCGAATTGTATTTTTCCACTAGACAAAATGGAAGTTCTTAAATAAGAAAGACAATTGTACTGTATACACCACATTACGTAATCATCATCATCATCATCATCAGATGCTGAATAAAGTCCACCGAATTATGAGCTTCAATATCAACCGCACTCGGTTCATGAATAACTTTGAAGAGGGAAAAAGAATTGTGTATGCTCTAAAGTCACAGTGTGTGTGTGTATATTCAGCTCAAGTGTCAAGTCGTAAATTAATTAATTTCAACGCAATTAGACATTTATACGACTTCGACTACCATTA